AAATGAAAAGTTAAGATTTAAATGCATGTTATTTAGCATCGTAAATGCAACAACACATTTTCATTTCGATTACTGCTTCTTTTCACTATTTTTAAGCTTTTCAGCATTCCGGATGAGACCTTTTCCTTTTCCGGATTGCATAATACACCAAATATTTTATTTTCTTTGTAGCATGCATCGCATACAGCAAGCACTGCTTGGGAAGTATACATTTTCGGATGAACAAAAAAGAAAAACAATTTCATACGTTAAATCGATTGAATTTTTCCGACCGGTTTAATAACGAAAGCATTTTGGAATTTCATAGTTGAATTATTTCCACTTCTTACTTCTTACTTGAATCATCCAGAATCTTTCGGTTCATAATAAAAGAAAGGAATTCATGGATATGCGAAAGAATGCAGGAGTTATTTAACCTGAAAGTTCAGTTAAGCTTTACCTTTCGAAATTTAGTTTTTGAGCTAAAAAAAAAAGATTTTGTAAATTTCGGTTTTTTCCTAATAATTTCCTGTGAATGTCCGGAAAATGCTCTATTTTATTTTAGGTTTTTTGAAGATCATACGAGACATACACATACATTATTTGATTTCGTTCTCCGGAAACATTTCCGGCCCTACTTGAAAATCGGCTTACTCTTTATTTTTCTCATTCTCTTAGAATATTAAGAAAAAAAAAGTGAAATTTATTACGTGTGAAGGGAACAAAAACGGAATAATTTATAAAGTTTTTAAAACATTTCAAAGTGTCTTTTAATTTTTCTAATTTGATATAAACTTCATAACTGCTGTTTAATCCTTTTCAATTTTAATTTTGACAGGATCAAAGAACAGTTTCAAATTTTAAAGTATGGAAATAAACTGCCTAAAAGTGCGAAAAAAAATTATAATAAAAGACCATTTCTTTTCATTTTTTTTTTTTAAAAACTTTGATGAATTGACTTTGTTTCATGAATCAAAGAACAGTTTAAAAAATTTAAAATATGGAAATAAATTGTTTTAAAATGGAGAGAAAAAAATCGCAAAAAAAAGAGTATTCTTTCTTTTTTTCAAACTTTAATAAATTAATTCAAGACAAACTTTTGAAACAAATCTTATTGAATTTTAATGGGATTTTTTTAACTTTTCTTTGAATTTCCAATAATATGATATCATTATGATAAACAATTGTTCATTACACACTATCATTCGATGATATTGTATAGTGATAAATCATGATTATAGCTTCCTCAAAAATCATTCCCATCGTGAATGAAGTAGAATTGCGCTCAAAATAAGCAATTCGAAGAAGCAAATTAAACCATGTGCACACATACATATGTATATATACATATGTATATCATATCATATAAATTGGATAAGATAAATAAATTCAACCAAAATTGCAAATATTCTTTTAAATTTCAAATACTTTGAGATTTCAAATTTTTAAAATTTAAAATTAAACCATTTCTGAAGCTATTTCCTAAATTATTTTATTACCATTACTAATGTGATAATTGATAATAGTTAATAGTAAATTGGATCTTATCAGTAAATTAGTTTATAATATCTAAAATACCGTCCAATTATTAGAATTATTTAATGATAACACTGATCGATAACTATTTCTCTCTTTCCTCTTTCATCATCTTTATTTTTGTTCCTGAAAATAATCTTTCCAAAAAAGATTTGTTCACTACTAATTACAGAAGTAAAATATTAGCTCTTTTTCAGTTCATCCTTCTATAAATTGTGCATTTATGTGTACCTAAAACAATACGATAAAAAAATATTTCACATCTATGTATAAATATAAATTTTGCAATTCAAAAAAAAAAAAAATATATGAAAAGGAAGATCTTGCCTAGTTACTATTGTTAATTAGCTAATTAATTATGCTATTAATTAATCAAGGTGAACAATGTGGAATAAAAAAAAGCACTTCACATCTATGTATTTATATACATTTCTCATACAAGAAAATGTATGAAACAAGAAGATATTGTTCAATTAGTATTATTATTATTAATTTTATCAGTTAATTAATTAAATAAAAAAAAGCAAAGCAAACAAGTGAGAAAGACAATCCTTTATGACTGTTAAAAAATGCAATTATTAATGGGAAAAAGGAAAAGAAAAGAGAAAGAAATGAATAATTGAATTATTAATTTTTCGCTTCCTAAAATATTCCGAAATAATTCACCAATTTTTTTTTAATTAATTAAAAACAATTTGGTATTAAAATTTCTCATAATAATCATTGGCTTATTGTATTAACGATTATTGGAATAACTATGTTATTATTACTTTTTTTTTTTACTTTGGTCTAATACAGGAATAGTTATGTTAACCTTTGCATTTCGCTGTTGTCCAAAAGATGACCGTAAAATTTCTGATGACCAATCGTCCTTTTGTCTCTCACTCTCTCTCTCTGTGGCCTATTATCTTCACTTATGGCTTAGTTTGCTATTAACTGAAATGCAGTAATGATTAAGCTTTTCTTTTTTTTTTTTTTGTCACCATTAATAGGTGACATTAGTGAAATATTTTCACATCTGTACAAAATATGACATTGTAATGATAAAAAAATGAAGAAAAAAAAAGTAAATTGATACAAAAGTATGATAATTGATGAATTTCTTCTTTTAAAAGATCAAATTCATATTGAAATATTACATTGCTTATAACATTTTTTGATCACAAAACAATTTCACAAAATTATGCATCGTCAAGATTTGTGTAAAAATTTTAAAATTCGAAATCAAAAATTCAAATAATTTCATTTCCATTACCATATTCTCTTTTAACATTGATATAATTTCAATGCGACAAATTTAAACAAAATTGAACATTTTTGAAATTTTGTTTTCATTTATATTAAATAATGAGCAAAAAAGAAAAAAAGAAAAAATGTAAGCAAATTGAAGTTAATTAACATATTGAAGTTAATTCTGAATTTAATTAACAACGAATTTTTCAATTTCATCAAAAAAAAAATCGACGATTATCGAATTGAAATTTAACTTTTGTTCAAATTTATTAAGTTTAAGAATCAATAATAAGGAATATTTGGTTGGAATTCTTCAAATTTCGTGAATTACTCGAAATTCCCAATCCGCAATGGATTTTTTTTGTTCATCGAACCAATACGGTATAAAAAACCTTCGTGGATTATATTACATCCGGCCAACTGTGAAATACCGGACCAGTCCATTAGTATGTCCAAATGGTAGATATCGATGGCCGTATTACAATATTTTCAAAGTTTCGGGAGATAGATGTTACGGGATGTTGTTACGTGTGGTGTAATTACAGTGTTGTTGTTTTTTTCCCCTTATAAACAAAAAATCAAAAGGTATCTTTCCTTTACATCTTATATTTTTATTGATATTAAAGCATATTATTTAATGTTAAATGTAAAGATATTAACTATCCATATTGTTTATTTTTCTTCTCTCTTATAACAAAGAAAAAAAAGAAAGGAAAAAAGAAAAGATAAATAAGAAAAGAGATTTCCTTTTCATATTTACTCTTTATGAAGTATTTTTATTGATGATAATTTTTTTACGTGATATATTTGACGTTTGACGCAAAAAGAAAAAAAATATTTAACATTTATGTTGTTATTTTTTCTTTTTACGCATAAATTTTACGTTATTAATTCTTCGATTTAATTCACTGGATAGCATTATCAATATAGCTTGAATAATTAAACATTAGATTTCAGCAAACATTAACCAATGAATTATTTAAGAGAAAGAAAAGAAAAGAACGTGAGGAGTTAAAGGATAAAGGATTTGTTGATTATTAATGTTTAATTGCAGGTAGTTGTTTAAAAAAAAAAAAAATTACGAACGAAGATTATGCAGCAGGTTGAACGATCTGATGCACAAGCCGTGATGGCTTTAAGGCATCGAAAAATCAACAGTCATGAATTAGAAACTAGCAGTGATAATTGCGTTACAGCTGAATGTAAGTTTATATAACTTTTCTCACTCTTTTTTTTTGCCCCACTTCAAAACATCAAAAACATCAAATTATATATATAAGATTTTAATCTTATCTCGCTATTTGATTATGAATTTGAAATGATAATATCATGTAAATGAGGTGCAATGATATTCTCCACTGAAGGTTTCTATGAATGATTGCACTCAAAGAATTATCGGTCCACTTCATGCAAACTTTTCATCAATAGTTGCTATCAATAATTTACGATTTATTTTTGTTGTGATTCCAATGAAGAAATTAGTTTTTTCGGTTATTTTTATAAGGATTATACTTTTTTCAAACAGTGATGATTTGTTCTTTGCAGACCAAATTATCGAAGCTCCAGACTGGGATGATGGCAGTGCTTATGACATAAAGAGAGATTTGGGAAAAACGATGGTTCAAAGGTTATTTCACTGGGGTCCAATGGCAGTAATTTGCCTAACATTAACTGTATGTCGCAATTATTGTTTCTGTAACAACTTATGAAAATATGAACTATTGACGTGGGAATTTTTTCTTTTCGTTGTCTGATCAAGAATTTCAGTCTTTCAAGTTTTCTATTTTTTCAGATTTTTAGTTTTTTCGAGTTCTCAGTTACTTTTCCAATTTTTTCGTTGCTTATGCATGTTATATATTTAAATCCCATAATCTGAGATCTTAAATTGTTTTTAGATTGGAACCGCTACTACGTATGTGCATTTGCAATGGTGGCCTTTAACTACAGTAACTTCATTCTTGCATCTTTCCCTTTTCTTATCATTCAATTACCTGACTCTAATTAATCTTAGTCGATCATCATTTTTCGGTCCGGGATATGCTCCATACAACTGGAAACCACCGAGAAAGGTATTGGTGATTTCAGTACAGTTTACCGTAGTCTTCACAATCATAGACATCCTATTTAATGAACAGATGGAACAGGGTTTCATTTGCTGTACCAACTTTCTTGTACCAACAAATGTACCAACTTTCTTTGAGATGTGATTTCAATTCTCATCCTTTCGTGTCCATAAAACTATGCTGTTGGTAGCATTATTTTTGAGCGATGCATGGTTTTTTTCTTTTTTTGGCAGTGGTAAAATAAAAATTTTAAGAATTCAGTTTGACAGTTTTAGGAGGATGAAGATCGGTTACAGTATTGTCGAATATGTAATGGTTTCAAGATGCCTCGTTCGCATCATTGCTCAAATTGTGGTCGCTGTGTTTGTAAAATGGATCATCACTGCCGTAAGTTTGGTTATATTTGAAAGAAATTGGACGCAGTTAGCTGGAATGGTTTAGAGATAAAGTAGCTTTGGAGGTGAGGTGCACGGCATTCAGGAACTGTATCAGCTTTAGAAAAAACTGTTTGAACTATTTTGTACTTTGGTAGGAAGACTGAAAAGATCTTCAATATCTAAGCAGTACCTTGACTTGGTTGATTAAGTTCAGCTGTTCTATTTATCTTGGTATCTGTTTTTCATTTTTAGGATATTTCTTTTTATTCCATAGATTATACTTTTAGCTTGGATAAATAACTGTGTTGGACATCGAAATCATGCACTCTTTGTGCGCTTTCTTGCCTCAGCAACACTTGGTTGCATTCATGCTGCAATAATTTTATCTTCTGCTTTATATCGCTTTTTATTCCGGGTAATCTTCTATATTTTTTTCCCCCCATACTCTTGCAGAACTTACAATGAGCAAGTATTCATATCGGTTTATTTACATAATTTGTCATCCTTCTGCTCTTTACATTCTTCATTTTGGCTAACTTCTCTTCTTTTTACGTTATCCACAATGCAGTTATGCTGCTTTCTTATTCCCACAAGTATAATTCACTAAAGAATTATTTTTGGCAACCAGAAACCAATCATTTCTCATTAACAGCACTGATTCTTTACTATATTTTTTACATTGTAAGAAGTTATGTTCAAGTAACACTGACTATCACCTCTTACTTCTGTTTGGCTACCAATCATGATGTAATTGCTTCCTGAACTATTCACATTCCGGAGTCGGGAATTTAATTTGAAGATCATCCATTTTCTATATTTTTCTTCCTTCATAATTAAGACCGTTAAAGATGTATGAAATGAAATTTGCTTCTTTTTTTCTCTCATTTTTGTGTGCGATTCCGGATGTTTCTAGTTTTAAGATGTATTTTAAATGCTCGTCAATACATGATCCCATGTGTAGAAAAAGAGTCATAGTTACGAAATTGCTATTTTCATCAGTGGACTGAGATTTTGGAAATTAATTTTGTCGTTATTTGCTAAAACTAGAAAGCTTATATTCACAATTTCAGGTGTGGTATTTCAATTATGGTGATAGCAATGAACTGATTGTTTTATCATTATATTCATTTATTTTTGTTATATTTGCATTTGGCCTTACATTGGGTGTCATAATTTCAGTTGGTTTTTTATTAGGTGTACAGATTCGAGGGATAATGCGGAATCGTACTGGTATTGAAGATTATATTGGTAATACCTACTGAAACGATTTCAAAAATTTTTTTTGCATTTTTTATAATTTATGCTCTGCAAAATGTGCTGACTGATTTCAGCTCTAAACGAATATTGTTTAAATACACAAATTTTAGGTGCAATTTACAATTACATAACTTCCATGCGAAATATGCACGATAAAATTATACTATTTAAAAATTGTATTTTATCTTTGCAGAAGCTAACTCAGTACTTACAATTATTATTTAATGTCACATTTTAAATGCTATCATCAAATACTTATAGACATTCATACTCATTTCAGTTGATAAAGCAAACGCACGTGAACGAAATACTGCATTTATCTATCCTTACGATTTGGGTTGGCGTCGTAATATATCTGATGTGTTATTAACATTGGATGGTATACCAAAAGGAAATGGAATTTGGTGGCCTGTCATGCATCCAACTACACAGTTTACACTTTCGGTTCATTATTTAAAAGCAAAAAATCTTTTTAATTAATCACAGATATAGAATCAAGAATAATTTTTAGAAAACTGTTTGAAAATAGTCTATGTTTTATAAAAATTAATTATTGTATATAGTCCTTTTCGTAAATATAAATATTTTTTTAAAAAAATATAGTTTATCAATTAGTTTTTTGATATAAGTTCAAGTTACTTTTGCACATCTAACTACCGCAGCCATAATTCCGGAATTATGGAAGAATTCCCACCCGGTGGGGCTTTTCCGGGGCATCATGAAATATTTTTGCTTATTTGTTGCCTTTCTAAATCTATGTGAGAAGTCCCCTATTTCCTTAATTTTTCTAATGCTCGAAATATTTTTATTAAATTAAGGCAATCAGTTTTTCAAACCAAGAAATATAACGTTAAGCAAATATTTGGGAGGAAAAAGACATGTATAGTATTAAATATCTGAGACTGATTAGGGAAGATTTATTTCCCTGTAACTATTGCTGTTGCAGAGGAAAAAAATTGAGTTTAATTGTAGTCTATTAAAATTTGAAAGGAAAGCTTCAAATGATATCACTTATTCCCAAGAAGTTGAAAAGAAGGATAGAATTTCCAAACATTGTCACATTTAATTTTTCAATCTAGTTTTTGCTAATATTTTCCGACATTATTTAGAGAGGATTTATTTTCCTTTAAATATTGCTGTCGCACAAAAAGTGTTATTCTCCGTCCTTGAATATATGAGAGAAATTTTCAAGTCTCTATTTATCGTTGAGGTTTTGAACAGTTAAGGTTGACGACTTACTCACTCGAGCATTATTTAATGTCTGCCTGTATTGCTGTGATTAAGGCATTCACTCAATGTCCTTCATGGTCCTCTTGAAGTGTGGCTCTCACTTTTGTCACAATAAAGCTTTTAATTCAAGTCATTTAGAGGATTATTATTATTATTATTATTATTATTATTATTATTATTATTATTATTATTAATTATTATTTTTGTCATTACTGTCATTATCAATTATTATCAATTATTATTATTTATTAATTATTACTATTCCTGGTTTGGTCGGTTAATTTTAATGGTGGCAGTTATAATAGTGGTGTGGTGTTGGTGTATCCTTCAGTTATCTAATATTCACACTTATGCATACACGAAAACACTCATTAATTTGTCTATAGGAAATAATTGACATTTTTTGCTATAGCTCGTTTTGATTCATCGGTTACTTTATTTGGAATAATTATTGAAAAATGAAAAAAAAAGGAAAAATGGTTTTCTGTCGTTATTTATCTAAGGAATACTACAAATTAACTGCTTTTATTGATGAAGATTTTTGCAAATTCATTTGAGAATAAATCCATAATCATTTTGAAAATAAAGAGAAATAAATCCATAATCATTTTGAACACTTTATCAAGTGATTGATCAATGTTCAATTTATTATCGTCAATTCTGATGGTATCTTTGATATTTGTGGTTTTTCTTTTTTTTGTTATTGGATTCGGACAACAAAATTTAGTGTTTTTATCGAATGTAAATAAATATTTCAGGAAGAGCAATTGTTGCAAAAGAAATACAAACGAGATAATGCTCATGAAGTTGAAATTATACGGAATTTCTCGGGTGGTTATTGTACATCGCTTAAATTAGGCATTTCTATTTGGTTTTGTCAACCATGGTCAGACGAAACACGACAAATGGTGAAGGTGAGTTCAACTTTTCTTCACCGTTTACTTAAATATTTACTAATCTATGTATTCCTCGACTTTCAATTTAATTTGCAGCACATAGAAATTTTGAATTCAGGAATTTAATTTTGTTTGTAAGCTTTTAAAATGATATTCTTTCACAGTCATGACTTTTTTATCCTATGACGAAGATTTTTCAGATTGGTGAGCACTGGATGGTAACTCGAGTTAGTAAACATTGGTTTTATGGTGCTTTAATATATAAGCAGGAAACAGTGAAACCGGGAAAAGAAAAAAATATTCTGATTAGAGGATGGTTTCCGCGAATATGCGCTCGAAGATTATGACGCGAAAACGGAAATGATTTTCTTGTTTAGATTTCAAACTTTCATTTAAATTTATTCATTATTAGTTCGTCGACCAAATATCTCAACCTTATTGGAAACGAGAAACTAAAGGACTACAAATGTGCAATATTTCAATTGTTTATCTTAAATTAATGAAATGATCATCCATTACATATGATCATCCATTACATACCCCCTCATTGAGAAACTTTTTCAAAAGCTAGCTAGGTTTTTTTTATTTCCATCCGTTTCTTGCTCCAGAGCAATCAAATAGGCTAAATGGTTCTAGAATCTGTTTTCTTTTAAACTCGGAAATATTTTATCTTTATTTATGATTCTGTGGATGATAAATGAGAAATCACAGATGAATCAAAATCTCTTCAATACAGATATCCACTTTCTTAGAAGGAAAAAACATATCTGAAATATGATCTTAATGAATTGTATTTTCAATGCTGTTGAAAATTAGCTAAAAAAACATTAGCTAATTCAAGCTAATGTGACGAAATTAAGGACTATCTGTGATTGAACTATTTTTGATGGCAGCTAGGTTGTTGACATCGTAGCATGCCTTCATGAAATTGCTGACATTAGTATGCTAAATAGGTTTGTGAAAATTTTTGTGAAATACACATTATTTGGACATGCTTGTAAGTTGTGTATTGGTAATTGATGAAGATTTTTCTGATATTATTTCCGTTTTGTTTTTTTTTTTTTTTTGTTTTCTTGTTCATTAAATTTGTTTTCAATATTTCTGTGATATTTACATTTTAGATTTATATGTTTAGCGAAACACATGATTGGACAAATGTTGCATAAGAAATGTTGTAGATCGCAAAACGTGTTTTGACGTAAGTGTCCGCGGCATTGAAGTTCAGCCGAAGGACGTTTTCAAAGTGCAAACCTTTACATATAATTTGCTTTTCCCTTTACAATCGCTAATTATTCCGTAAGTCTCTTACTAAAATTCTAATGCTATGATCACCTTAAACGATCAAAAAAGAATATCGTGATTTTAAATTGGATGATGAGTCTGAACTTATAGCTTATGTCTATCTTTACTCAGAGCTTATAATCTCTGAACTGATAACTTCATGTTTGCTAAAAGAAAATTTGGTATAATTTCAAGCTGGATGAATATTAACAAATCGACAAATACTCAGGGTGTGATAGTATTAATTTAATTTCACTTTAATATAATAAATTCCTTCATTTCCGAGTTTTTATGATTTACTCCCGAATTACAGCAATCAAAAATGAATGTATCCCAGGGAATTTCTGGAATTTATTCATTGGAGCAAAAAATCATTAATGAATTTCCTTCAGTATATGAATTAGCGAAACGAAATAAGCAGAATGAATGAAAGAAACAATGAACGAAATAAATCTATTGAAGTTTAAACTTGGAAAACATTTGAAATTTTTGTTAAGTATCGAAATATATGCTAAATGTTGTCCTAAAAATCATATTCCGCATCGGTTCGTTATCGGAATATGTACTGAATATTGTTCTTGAAAATCATACTTTTCCGAACAGTGTTCAAATTGAAACATCCTATTAGGATCGTTTTCATAGAATTCGGAAATTTTCAATAAGTTCATTCCTCCATAATAACTGGATGTTGTGCAATCTTGGCAATTTTTCTTCTTTACTGATCTAACCGGAAAAAGTCAGGACATATATGTGTTCAATGATGGAATTATTACCTTTAAATTTAACCGAATTACCGAATAAACTATTACGGAATTATTCAACAGACAGAATTATTATTGGATAAAAAACATGAAATACAAATGAGTGACCGTGCCTACAGTAATCTTTAATGGCTTAGCTTTCCGGAAGAGATTCAGCTTATTGGTTTATTGAAATTTTTTTTCCAGACAATATTACTTTCACAAATGTTATGGGATATTTAATTGAAAAATGAAGATAAAAATGAAAATTCCTCTCTCCCATACTTTCAATGAATCATTGTGTTCTGTTGTGAAACGATGATATCATCCGGTTGATTATAATTGACCGTATCATTTAAATTTATTTATTTTTTTCTCGTTTTCTCTATCCCAATAAAATTGATGGTGTACGGTATTGATTATAGTCGTGATAAAAATTTCAATTTTCATGACAAAACATTAAATGTAAATGAGGAATTCAAAAAAAAAAAAAAAAAGTTGAAAACTAACAAAATGCAAATATCATATAAATTATTTAGTAATCAATGTAATTTAAAATGAAATTTAAATATATTTTTGATATAAATGTAAATCTTGAAAATTTAAATTTTATAGAAATTTCTTTTTTTCCGAATAATTATAATTAACAGACGATTTAAAAATGATAACAAATCCGCGAACAAATATTTATAATGTATATGAATATCTAAATAAATGTATTAATTAAACATTAATCAATCATTTATTAATTAGTTTCTGATTTAAATTCAATTAATTTCATTTCTACAAAGCAATATTTTTCTTTTTTCTTTTGTTTAAATTTTTAAAATTAAGTGAAGAAATTTCTCTTTACTCAAGAAATATAAAAAAAAAAAAACTCTTCATACCTTGTAATTGCAGTATGAATCATTAGGATAGAAAGATGAATTTATTGAAACTAGGTTTCATCTTTGATCATCATCATAATGTAAATATTGAAATTTTCGTTGATCATCATCGGAAGAATAATGAATTTGGACGATGACAATCATTAAAGATTTATGTGACAATTAATTAGAAAAAATTAAAATTTAATTTTCAAATAATTTTTTAATACATTTAAATTCGTCAAATTATGATTTTTTTTTTTTTTTTTTAAATACATAATGCTTTCAATTTTAGCTTAATTTTTTATGAAATATGATTAAATATGGCGAAGTGATTTGCTAGATAGAAAATGATCTTTGATATTTCAGTGAATTTAATTAAAAAAAAATAAAGAGAAAAAGAATTAAACCGTAATTAGTGAAATCCAAACTGTAATTAGTGAAATCTAAACCGTAATTAGTGAAATCTTTGTTTTTCTATAGTACTTATTACTATATAATCAGATATGAAATTCCTTTTCATTTTAAAATTTGATATAAAAATTTTAATCAATAAGTTATTAAGTAATTGCCGGTTCATCATTATATTTTATCCTTATTTTTGACCTTCCATTCTATCCCATTTAACCTAAGTTATATAATCCGATGTGATATAATGATGAACAGAGTAAATTAAAAGTTATTTAAAAGAATGTGACATTATTAATTTTTCTTCTTTGATTTAATACCATAATATTAATTATTTGAAATTATTCGTTGCTCATTTTTCGATTATCTCTGATAAATATCAAATGTATAAAATCATTTCTTATTCCATAAATATTGCTATTAATTTTCCTTTTCTGAATATTCTTTTTTTTTAGCTCTAACAAATTAATGAAATTTTTGGGATATTCCTTAATTTAAATGGATTTCCGGTATTTAATTCAGGATTGAAATTTGATAATACATTAATGGAAATGATTGCTTTTTTATCTATTCAGATTAAACGCAACCCGAAAATATGTCATCAAAGGCGGAGCTCATCAAACAACGATGACATAGGAAGATGACAATAGGGAAAAACAATCTATGGAGTGCTATCCTGATCCACGAAATAGACCAAACCTCCTTCTCCTCCTCCTCTTCCTCTTCCTCCTCCTCCTCCTCTTTCTTCTTCGCCTCCTCCTCCTTCTTGTGCACATTTAGTTCGTGCTATTGCTGTTATTGCTGCTAATTCTTTCAACTATTTCATTCCATATATTTTGATCGAGTTAGATTTGATCGGATTTGATCGAGTTAGACTTGATCAGACTTGATCTAATCTGATTTAAAAATCCTTAGTTTAAAATTTAAACTTTTAATCATATATACATTAGCTAGCTGATTTAATTTCAATCACTTTTTATCGTAGTAATTGGAAATATTAAGCGAATGCCGAATTTTTCCATTCTTTTTTTTTTTTTTTTTTGATAATGTAAACTTTCATTAGTAGATGTTGAATATTTAAGCGTGTGATTTAAACTTATTTTACGTGTATATCAAAATATTACACTTACACGTCAATTTTTTCACGTCTAAAATAAAATACTGTTGAATATTTAAGCGTGTGATTTAAACTTATTTTAACGTATATATCAAAGTATTACACTACACATCAATTTTTTTACGTCTAAAATAAAATGCTGTTGAATATTCAAGCGTGTAATTTATGCTTACTTTACGTATATATCAAAGTACTGCACTAGCACGTCAATTTTTTTACGTCTAAAATAAAATACTGTTGAATATTCAAGCGTGTAATTTATGCTTACTTTACG